CTCAGGTATGGCAATGATGGATTTCTCTCTGTTTAGTCATTTTCTTCGTTGAATCAATTATGTTAAGATTTTGTTTCCACATTCATGCTGATGTTTGGAGATCTTGATTAAGAAGGATTAGTTTATTCTTTTTATATTTATTTGTGGAATGTTAATAAGTTGAATCCAATGGTACCATTATGTGGTCAGTCATCATATTTTTGATATTTCTTTTGTTACATGTGCTGATGAGCTATATAAGGTTCGGATAACCTCTCTTTTTCAAATCTCTTTCTATCTGTGTTTAAGGTTTAAACTTAAAATCTACAACTTGAAGTCAGTCACTGGGGCATCATACTATCATAGTGTTTGATATTGGCTCCATCAATTATTGGAAGAGAAAGAAAAATTATTGATTTTGGTATGTTTCGATCATCATGTCATGTGGGTAGTCTGGTATAGAGATATTCTTTGCACATGCTTCTACTATCCTTGGGCACCCCGTGATTTTTTATTTATTATTTCGTTTCTTTTTGTTTTGCCTTTGGTAGAGGGGTTAGGTAATTTGGTCTTTATATTTTAGTATTTCTATCTATTGATTTCCCTCTTTTTTTTATTCATTCCCCAACTCAGGTTTTTTTTATTGAAGTTGCATCATTTGATTTCCTCTTTTCCTGGATTAAAGCTTTCATTTGCATTTGTTCCCTAAAAATGTATAATTTTTTTTTTTTTAATCATGCAAGACATATAAATATCACTCTTGTTTCTAGTATTCTTTTACTCGGAAAAAGCCCTGAAAGTTTAGAAAATTGAGGTTCTGTATTGTTTCTTCAACAAACCATGCCTCTATTTGAATACAGAATAGTTTTTGCCAGTCCGGACTGGAATTGACAAAAATACTACTAATACCCCTGCTTGTCAATTTCAGTCCGGACTGGCAATTTGTTGCCATTCTGGATTGAAAAACTGCATTCTTATTGCAATATGCCATTAATGATTCTGTATTCTGTGGTTGGGACAGCCTATTTTTCTGCACTCTTGAGCTTTAACCTCTACAAAGGTTGCATCTTTCCTTCGAGACTGGATAGATATGAACATTCCATATATAGTTTATTCTAAGGATTCTCTCTATTTGATTACTTCTATTAGCCATTAGGCTTAGTCCCATTCCCTGCTCAAAAAATACTGGTGGTTTACTTAACCATATACTATCTATGTAATTAATTTACTCTTGAACATACTGACATTTAAGTCCAATTCGATCCCTCTTGTCCAATGTAACAAGGATTTTATTGAGCTCTCCTTTTTCTTGTCGCCATCCTCAACTGTTTTTGAATGTGCTGAACTTTCAAAGTATCCGACAGAATTTTGTTTTTACACCATGGTTGTAGTTTAGAATACATCCATGGTTGTTGTTTTTATTTTTAATTTTTTTCTGCAACTATGGTTGAGTAGCTATTTAGCTATAGTTTTTCTGTGTTAATTTTCTTAACTGCATGAGTCAAATGGAATGTTTTCATAAACAGTATCTCAAGTTGAAATCCTAATGTCTGTTCTATATGTAAACTTTTATCTTGATCTCACAAATTTATTCTTTATCGTGATGATGCTAATGACAGTGAGAGAACTCAGGTGCTGTTAACAAATGCTGCGTTTGTCCATATAAAACGTACTGATGTTTCAAAGCACCTTCGAAACCTTACCCCTGCTGGTAGAGCTATTTTGCTCTCAGGACCTGCTGGTATGTATCTGGATTTGGTTATCTGATTGGAAATTAAGATATTTTTGTCTCAATTCCATTTTAATGTTATGTTTTGCATCTCAATCTTCTGAAGAACCTTACCAGCAAATGCTTGCCAAGGCTTTAGCACATTTCTGTGAATCAAAGCTGTTATTGTTGGATATCACGGACTTTTCTCTAAAGGTAAAAAAGCATAGCTTCAGTGTTCCTTGATTTAATTGGTAACATACTCATGCTTATGCTCATTCTTTTCATGGTTATATCACTGCAGATGCAGAGCAAATATGGTTGCAAAAAGAAAGAACTCGTAAGTTTTCCTTTTCTCTGTAGAGCCATTTATTAACTGCTATGTTGATTGAGTAAGAAAAGGAGTTTTCCATTTGGAGCATTACTAGGAAGTTCACATTCTATTCATCTAGGTTTGCCTTTGTTGAATTAAATTTCCATCTTGTTCTTTTCTGCTCTTCGGATATTGTTTCACTCACTTGTGAGTTCTATTCAATGGAACACTCATTGGCTCTTGATTTTGTGCCTTAAATTCAGTCTTTCAAGAGGTCTATCTCAGAGGTGACACTGGAAAGAATGAACAGTTTATTAGGTTCATTACCATTCCTTCTCCCAAGGGAAGAACCAAAAGGTATAAAATAAAGTTGAGATCTAATATTTTGACATCTAATGTTTTTTCATTTGTAGTGAGCAGCCTTTTTAAAATTTTCCTTCGTACTATTTGTTGTTACTTGGCCAAAGTTTCATTAAATGTTTCTCTTAATAACAAGAAATCATTTGTCCAGGCATGTTACCTAGGCAGAGCAGTGGTATTGACCTTAAGTCAAGGTATGGTTTATCACTCTTGCCATTAATCTTTATGTTGATGGAGTTTATATAAGGCTTTATTCAGTTCAGTTCAGTTCAGTTCAGTTCAGTTCATCAGCTGTTAATGCTGCACTGGAGGTCCCATAAAACCTTTTTCATACATTGTCAGGGCTACAGAATGCTCTAGCAGTGCCCCAAAACATCGTAGAAATGCCTCTGCTGCATCTGATATTAGTTCCATCTCTTCCCTTTCCACTTCCTCAAATCCAGGTTCTAATTCATATTTCTTTTCCTTTGTGGTTAGGACATATTATGCCCATTGAATTCATTAAAAAAAAAAAAAATGCGCTTATCTTTACTTTGTTGACTTTCTGTTTCTTGTAGCTTCCTACAAGGGCCCCAGCAGCTGGTGCTTTGATGAGAAACTCTTTCTGCAGTCACTCTACAAGGTAATTTCATATTAGTAAGTAGTTTAGAAGCTGAATTGTGGTAAACTATAAGTTGATTGTTCAACTTCCTACAAGCCAATAATGAAATGGCATTGAGAGGCAGGTTTTTCATTTTCTTACAGGTACTGGTTTCAGTATCAGAAACGAAGCCTATCATCTTATATCTGAGGGATGTTGAGAAAATCCTCCTCCAATCTCCACGGTTCTACAATTTGTTTCACAAATTGTTGAATAAACTTTCTGGTCCGGTGCTGATACTTGGCTCCAAGATGTTGGACCCAGAAGATGACAGCAGACAAGTGGACGAGAGGCTCTCCCTTTTGTTCCCAACCAACATTGAGATAAAAGCACCTGACGATGAAACTCATCTTGTCAGGTGGAAAGCCCAACTGGAAGAGGACATGAAGAGACTCCAATTTCAGGATAACAGAAACCATATTGCTGAGGTACTTGCAGCAAATGATCTTGAATGTGATGATTTGGGTTCAATCTGTCAAGCAGACACAATGGTCCTGAGTAATTACATTCAAGAAATTGTGGTATCAGCAATATCTCATCATCTGATTGATAATAAGGATCCAGAATACCGAAATGGCAAGCTTGTCATATCATCTGAGAGGTAGATACATAGTATGAAATTTTTAATGGCTTCAATGCACATTTCTTTGTTTTTCCTTTCGAGAAATAAAGAAAGTTTAACACAATTATGTATCTCCATCTTGAGCAGCTTGTCCCATGGATTGAGTATATTCCGGGAAGGCAAAATGAATGGGAAGGATACCCCAAAGCTTGAAACAAATGCTGAATCCTCCAAGGTTTTGATTTAAATTCTGGGTGTTTGGTTTATGAGAACCTTGACACCTAAGGAAATGGTTGAACATTAAATGTCTTTGTCAAATGCAGGCGGGCAACAAAGCAGTTGGTGCAAAAACTGAATCAAAATCTGAAACCTCGGCGCCAGAAAACAAAACTGAAACAGAGAAGTCAGCTCCTGCCGTGAAGAAAGATGGTGAGAATCCACCTGCAGCAAAAATGCCTGTAAGTTTAAGTCCTTTGTTATCAAATAGTCTACAGTAAAGAAATGTCCTGTTACCCTTGTACTTTAAAAAAAAAAATTATTACTAGGACAAAAAGCAAGTGGGCATTGCAATGCTGGTTTTATAAGAACTTTGCTGTTTTTCAATTTTACCATGACAACTGCTGAAAATTTAGTCATTGGAATAGCAATTTCAACACTAACTTTTAATGCATCTCCAGAGTATCATAAGGTCCTTATAGTCAGATACCTCATGCCTTTCTTCCTTCTTTTCTTTGTTTATTCAGTTTATCTTACTACAGAAGTTTCATAAATGTGTTAACAGGATTTTCCTCCTGATAATGAATTTGAGAAGCGCATAAGGCGAGAGGTTATACCTGCAAATGAGATTGGGGTAACGTTTTCAGATATTGGTGCATTGGATGAGATCAAAAAATCTCTTCAAGAGGTAGTCATGCTCCCTCTTCGAAGACCAGATCTTTTCACAGGTGGGCTTCTTAAGCCTTGCAGAGGTATATTGCTCTTTGGGCCTCCTGGTACTGGAAAAACAATGCTGGCAAAAGCCATTGCAAATGAATCTGGAGCAAGTTTCATCAATGTCTCAATGTCCACCATCACCTCAAAATGGTTTGGGGAAGATGAGAAGAATGTAAGAGCTTTATTTACACTGGCAGCAAAGGTTGCACCGACCATTATATTTGTGGATGAGGTTGACAGCATGATGGGGCAGCGGACTAGAGTTGGGGAGCATGAGGCTATGCGGAAAATTAAGAATGAATTCATGACACATTGGGATGGGCTCTTAACCAATGCTGGGGAGCGAATTCTGGTTCTTGCTGCAACCAACAGGCCATTTGACCTTGATGAAGCAATTATCAGGCGGTTTGAGCGCAGGTATAATGGCATTGTTGTCTCTCTTTTCTTGCTGTTTTTCCCAGTTCTATCATTTTTTATCGTCTCATCATCATATCAGTGCTTTTACATCATTTAACTGGGATTAATTGTAACTTCAAAGTAAACAAGAGTTAGTAAACATTTAAGTTGCTGAACTAAGTTTAGTACTTGATGCCCCTCCAAAGTCCAAACTGTTCCCTTACCTTATGTATTGCTTTTGAGGATCATGTCACGAGTGGTCCTGTCACTTGAAGCATTAAAAACCCAACAACTTAATTATACTAACTTTTTCTATCAATTAGCTCATGTTATTTACGTGTTTGCTTCTCTATGCTACACAGAATTATGGTTGGCCTACCATCCATTGAGAGCAGAGAAAAGATCTTGAGAACACTGCTGGCTAAAGACAAAGTTGAAGATCTAGATTTCAAGGAGCTTGCAGCTATGACTGAAGGATATAGTGGAAGTGATCTCAAGGTTTGATATTTAACCACTATATACTCATATGTATCAATTACCCTACATTTAAATTGTTCTCACCTGATGGAATGAATTACTGGGAACAGAACTTGTGCGTAACAGCAGCGTATCGGCCTGTGAGGGAGTTGCTAAAGCAAGAGAGATTGAAGGATATGGTGACTACTTGTGCTCTTCCTACTTTTAACATAATCTCATCCATTTTCTACATCTTGATATCGCCGATACTGGTGAACATTCATGTCTGAATTTCTATTTTTCACAACCTTATATAGGAAAGAAAGAAGACAGAGGAAGCAGGCACGAGCTCAGAGGAAAGTACTTCCGAAACAAAAAAAGACAGTAAGGAAGCAAGCACGAGCTCAGAAGAAAGTACTTCAGAAACAAAAGAAGACAGTAAGGAGGAATGCATTATAACTCTGCGGCCTTTAAATATGGAAGATTTTCGGCAAGCAAAGAACCAGGTAACATAATTGACATCTGCTTGTGTCTTTATCTCCTGGTGTAGGAACCCAGAACTGTCATTTGATCCATAGAGGTTTATATTACTCTGATGTAGGTTGCTGCAAGCTTTGCTGCTGAGGGTGCAATAATGGCTGAGCTGAAACAATGGAATGATTTGTATGGAGAAGGAGGCTCAAGAAAGAAGCAACAGCTGACCTACTTCCTTTAGATTGCAGAAAATAAACATCTCCTACACTCTCCAACTAATTCCCTATCAAAGGAGGTGAAAGGTCGGCCAGAATGGCCTCAAACATGGCTCAATTGCCCCAAGCATGCATTTTGTTGAATTAAGTAGAAAGCTCTGCACCTGGGATCCTTAGCAAAGGAAAACAGGGAAAGACAGATGCTTTATAGAGGGGGTTTAAATCATTATAAATCCATTGAATGAACCATTTCAATATATGTATTTGGGTAGTTTGATTGTGATAGTGTGCTGCTTGAATGAGTGATGTTTGGAATTTAGAAATGCAAGTGGGGTATAGAATGTGGGGACTGGGGGCAATTTATGCTTTGTTTATGTACATTTGGATTGTGTAGTCCTGTTTGCATGACTAAAGGAAAACACTATTTACTGAAAATCTACTTTTTGAGTACTTTTCAAAAGAAAGCACAAGTAGACAAATGCCTTCTATATTTGCTGTAATTTCTTTATTTTTATTCCTTTATTTTTATATTTTCCAAATTTATCTGTTTTTATTGTAGAACCAAGATGGAAATCTCCCCTTTTTTTTATATTTTTTTATAAGACATACTAATTGGTTGAAGCTCTAATGAAGAAGGTGGATGGAAAGGAAAAATGGGAGTTTAAACCTTATTTATATGAGTAAGGACTTGTTTTTTGTTAAAAATTTAATAAATTACTTTACAAGTTTTTCTTAATCAAGTTAGATAGTAATTATAAGAAAAATACTATTAGAACTAAACTAGATGCTGATTGTAAGAAAAAAAATACTAGTATTATTTACTGCGAATCACAGTCAAGAGTTATCAGATTTAAGTCAGTTCAATGGTAATTTTTCTCTAATAAAAATAAGAGATATTAAGTTTCAATTATTTAATATATAAGTGAGATGTATTAAAAAATAAAAAAAAATTGACTCCTACCTTATAATCCCAGATAAACGAGGGAAAAAAAAATTTCATCAACTTGAGTCCGTCATCGACCGTGGAAAAAGAGATTGGATTAACACCTGCTATCAAATTTGTATTTTGATACATTTTTATTTCTCAATTAGAACTTATCAATTTAGGCTAGTTTTAAATTTTAAAACAATAAAATAGAATAGAATTAGTCATGACATTTTTAATAAATTTTATATTTTAGATGTTTAAAAAAAGTGTTTCCAAATTTTGTATCTAAACATAATGGGAAAGTTTAAAAAAGATACAATGCCATTTATTAAATTTTTAGACCCAATAAAACTGCACAATTATGTTTCTAAATGTTGAACAATGCTGGCCTGAATAGATCAGCAAAGCATGTGATCTAAAACTAAAAACTTTTCAGTACCATATTCAATGACAATGTGTGAAAAATATAAATTAGAAACAACGGTTCTAGAGATGTAAAGGACCAAAACAAAGTAGAGACGAGGAGGACCAAAACATGGTCATCCATTCACAGAAAGACAAGCGTTCCATTTATGTCGACTAATCTTTCTTACTATCTTTCACTTGTCCTAGAACTTGATGTATGGGAATTTTACTCAAAACCTTCTCATCAAGCACTGCATACTGCTTCTTGATCTCAATCATCGCCTTCTCAGCAAATGAATCAACCTGGTCCTCATGTTTCTCATAGAGAACCGGTACAGTGTGTAGCAGAACAAACACTACCGTCAAGAATTGATTTGGCATCAATGCAAGTAGAAATATAAAGTTTTATACAATTAAAAAGAAGATTAAATAAATATCTGAGAATATAATTGAACTCCTCACCTATGTAGAACAAGGTCAAGAAGCTGAACCGGTTACCCAAAATGGACAGAACCCACAATCCTGCTATAACCTAGTTAACATCAAAGTAAAAGATGAAGATTGTGAGTAACATGATTAGTAACTGCGAAAACATTAAAGAAGGCGTGGTGGAAGAAGCAAGGCAACTCTTATGAGCACAATCAAAGCTGACAAATGGAATGTTATAAGGCAGACAGAGTCATTATGTATGGTCATTTCCTGCCGTCAGACTTGATGCTAATGTAGCTAAATAATTAAGGAAGCAATTGGAAATGCTTATTAAAAGGCAAGGAAAAAATTAACATACACCAAGAAACTTCTTCAAATCTCTCCCTGAAGCAACCTCACGCACAACAGCCAAACCCCTATTAATTTCAATTCTCAGTGCAGAAGCAATTTCAAGTATGCACTTCTCAGGAAGTACAACTTCTGGAATCTGAGGAGGAGACCTAGACATTGGGAGTACTAAAGTCAAGACTACACAAATCATATCTTGTTGTCTTAAGGGAAGAGAAGAATAACAACTCCTTACTTGTTGATAAACACAGCTGCATTGGACCATAAGAAAAGGATAGCCAGAGAAACCATCAATATGTGGCAGACCAGAGTGACTAAGTGGTACTCAAGCACCTCAAAGAGAAACCACAATGCAGTGGCAACACCAAGCACACCAGCTGATATCTTCTTGTTCCTCCACAGAATAACATCAGCCGCTGCATAAAGAACAGATTCAAAATGAAACAAAGATACTGGATGATAGAATAACTGATAAAGAAAAAGAAACCAGAACAAAGCAATTTTCTAGAACTCATCTCAGCATTGTGTGTGTTAGGGACATCATTTCATATAACAAGAAAAATAATAAGTAAACAACATCATTGGTCTTGCAGCTATTACTTGATTACCCCTCCTCTACGGGGATAGAAACTACATTCAAATTGTCCTCCCTATGACCGTCTAAATGTAACCAAAAAAAAAAAAAAATTGAGGAAAAATCTTAACAAACCGCAGAATGCACAAAGAAAGAGAAAGCTTCAATTCAAGAAAGAGGCTAATGACGTTAAAGATCTAAACAAAATTCAATGGCTAAACTTATATAAGAAACAGTAAAGGAGTAAGAACATACAAACAAATTAAGGATTTAGCAGCAATTCAATTTTAGATAATTGTTATCTAATATTCCACAAAAGTCAATCATGTTTACTCTGTTAATTTTGCATTCAAAATTTGATACAACTGAGGTGCAATATCATCTATGATCAGGAACCTTGTCACAAAGATGTATCAAGTATGATGAATATAAGTCCAAGAACCAACCGAATTCGTCCCCTCCACGACTAATATCGCAAAACCATGAGTGTGTAATGCTGTTACTGAAATTAATGAACGAAGAGATCGGAAATGCTTCATAAATTCATTTCTCCGACAACTTAACTTATACCACTGGTAATCAAAGAGAAAGATTAAAAGAATTACCGATTCTGAACATGATACGTAATCACATCCAATAAAATTGCAGCAATATTGCATATCCAAACACATAGTAACTAATTAATATGCCGAAATTTGCTGATAAAAAAAAAAAAACTAATATGCCAAAAAAGAGTCAAGCAATTCATCCGATCCAAAAACGACTTGAAAAAACAACAACCATCGCATCTCTGTAATCGTTATGAACAAATGCAAAATTGAAAGGGAATCGAGTACTGAGAATCATAATGTACGTATATGTATACGGAGAGATGAAAAGTACGCTTGCCAAAAATGAGTCAAGCAATTCATCAGATCCAAAAACGATTTGAAAAACAACAAAAATCGCATCTCGTTAATCGTTTTGAACAAATGGAAAATTGAAAGGGAATTCGAGTACTGAGAATCATAAGAGAGAGATGAAGAACAGTACGTTTGCCCCCGCCTAAGACCTTGTGCACGGGTTTCTCCCTGCCGAAGATGCGATTAATCTTGGACTTGAAGGCGTCGACATGCGCATGCGATGGCTTGTTGTCGTCAGAATCGGAGGAGGAAGCCGAACCGTCGTGGCCGTGTATCTTCTCAACGATCTTCTCCAGCAGCGTCGTGGACTCTTCGTGCTCCGCCATGGATCAAGAGAGGGATGAGATGAGAGGAGGAGGAGGAGAATTGAGAGAGATACGATACGAAAACTCAGAGCGTGCGTTCAGGGGTGAATGGGGTATCACGCGAGATCAGCGGGGAATGAAATTTAAACCGTTTAAATGCCGAAGCTGAGGTTTGGAAGGGGCGAACCGTGCGGTTTTAGTACGAATGTTACGGAAAATGGGGAAGGTTCATTGCAGGCACTTGAAATTTCGTTATATCTGAGGTGACGGTAATGGTTATGGCTGGCTATTAAACTTCTAATTTCGAACATTTTTAACTCTTAATTTTTTTTAAAGTTTAAAGATAATTTTAGTATAAATTTAAAAATTTAATATAAAGTTTTTCCTTCTTCTTTCTTTCAACAAATGAGAAAATGGGACTGGAGAAAATGCACGGAAAAAAAAATTGAGAGGATTCTCTTAATTTCAATTTTCTTTTTTGGTGAAATCTTAATTTCAATTTTCAGGCACCTATAGCATTTATAGAAAATTGTCTGACACCCTCGGTATAAGCAAACAATTTTAGGACCCGGCGATGTCCTGGATCTTTCTGGGTAAAACCAAATGACTCATAACTCGTGTCTTGTTGCCATTTTTTCATTATGATGATTACTTTGAAAATATGGGGTTTTGCCGTTTAGGAATGTTCTTATCAAACAGATGTCATTATTGATTTTACTGTACAAAGGAGAAAAGAAGAAATGGTCTGACTCTGAGGCTGTGGCATGGTTACTATGCAAATTGGCTGCCACGGCGACTGGGGAAGCTGCCAGGAAAGCAGGGTGTGTCACATACGTAGTCTTTCTCTTTGCACTATCGGGGCAGGGTTATACAATCGAGTGAGGTTATGATTATTAATTAAAATATTAAAATTATTAAAAATTACAAAATATTATTTTAAAAATATTAATTTAATTTAATTAATAATAATTAATAATAATTATTTAATAAATTAAAATAAATTAATAAAATGTTAATCAAATTAAACAACATTTATATAAGGTTAACAAAAAGAATGATGTGTAACATTAGCTAGACCCAACCCATGAGTGGATGGATGAGTTGGCTGGGACTCTTCCAGCTTAACCAGAGGTCTTGAGTTCAAGCCCTGAAAATGCAACTCTGTTAAAACTTATGAGGGAGAGCTTTGCCGCCCATAGGGTCCTGCCCGGCTCGAATCTGAATTAGTCAGTGGTCCAATGAGCTTCTGGATACCAGATGGTCATACCAAAAAAACATTAGCCAGACCCATTATGCACGGAAAGAGTGTTAAGCAGTGAAAGACTAGAACAATGTTTGTGGACTCTTTTGGACTCTTTTAGACTCTTGACTTTAGAAAAATGTTTAGTCGGTCTTGCAAGGAAAAAGCGCCTTTCCATCAGTCTCAATTTAGTTGTTTTATTGAACTTTTGAATTTAATTTTAAATAATTTTTTTGTATGATATATTAACAGTAAGTGAAAATTTTGTTATTAAACAAAATTATTCAAAAAATTACATATAAAATAAAACAAAATTTAACTACAAGTCATATATTACTTAATAATATCACTTACATATACATATAAAAATTTTGCAAACAATTATAATTTGATGTGGAGATAGCAACGAGAAGAAAGAGACCATAAAGACTTCCCAGTCATGGCATTAATCACTAGGACTCGAGTGATAAAAAGTGAAAGAGAATATATATTGCTTTAATTGTTGGTCACATAATTTCCACGCATAATCTTTGGCGCAACTTCAGCGAAAAGCCTTTGTCCCGTTCATGGGGCAAACACCATAACTTAGGCTTTGTCTGGTAATATTGATTTGTAGTTGTATAATTTTTGTTTTAATATTTTTAAATAAAAAAATATGAAATTAATTCTCTTTTTCTAAATCTTTTTACCTGATTCAGAATTTAAGTTTGAGATTTTTAAATTAGTATCCTATGTACCAAAAAAAAAAAAATCTTAAAATTTTGTCCACCTGAACCACCCTTGGAGAA